CCCAGTGGCTGTGACCACATGCGCCCGCGCCACCCAGTACAGCCCTTCGGGGTCCCATGGGTAGCTTTACCGAAGGCCCCAGTGGCTGTGACCACATGCGTCCGCGCCGCACAGTACAGCCCTCCATGGCCCCATAGGGAGCTCCACCGACGGCCCATGTGGTTGTGACCACTTGCGTCCGCGCCACCGAGTACAGCGTTTCGTGGCCCGATAGGGAGCTCTAAAGAAGGCCTCAGTGGCTGTGATCACATGCGTCTCCCCCGACCCATTTCGGCACGCCCCTCGCGCGTTTCGTGGCCTACCCCTAGGGAGCTCCACCGAAGGCCTCGCGGCGGTGTCAATATGCCTTCCCGCTCATGTCGGCATACCCATCACACGTCCCGTGGCCCCATAAGGAGTCTCCCCTCCTTCGTCCCACCTGCATTGCGGTACTGACAGGTGCAGGTGGTTGGGTCTTTCGCGTGGCTATTGTTTTGCTGTCGGGCCATTCTTGGTTTTTACCCACCGTGCTGTGGTGCTGGGCCCTCGTTTTGAATAGGCATCGCCGCTCGTCCTCCTTCCCGCTCCTTCCTCCCTCCTCCCTTCCATGCCTCTGCCCTCCACATGTTTCTGCTCCGACACACGCCTCACACGTTTAGTTGTCTCATAGAAACTCCACAGACGGCCCCAATGTCAGGATCCGTATGCTTGACCACGCCCATTCTGACACACCCCTCACATGCTTCGCGACCCCATCGGAGCCCTACAGAAGGCCTAAATAGCAGGGCCCGTGTGCCTGACCACGTCCATTCCAAATGTTCTGTGGCCCCACCGGAGCTCTACAAAAGGCCGCAGTGGTCCCGCTCGCCTCGTAGGGGGCCCACCTGGTGTCTCAGCGGAATGGCCCACATTCTTTCCCGGGCCCAGTGTCGCACACCTACCCATAAGGACCCATCGCACAGTTCGTGGCCTCGTGCCATCTAGCGTCTCAGTGGCAGGGCCCTTATGCGTTCCCAGCCACATGTCGGCACACCTTTCGCACGTTTCGTGGCGCCACAGGGGGGCCCACCTCAGGCCCCAGTGGCAGGGCCCGCATGCGTACCCAGGCTTACTTCGTCTCACCCTAACACGTTTCGTGGCCGCATTGGGAGTTCCACTTAACGTCTCAGTGGCAGGGCCCGCATGCGTTTCCAGGCACATGTCGGCACACCCCTCGCACATTTCGCGGCCCCCAAAAGGGAGCTCCACCTAGTGTCTCCAGGCCCATTTCGGCACACCTCTCACACGCTTGGTGGCACCATAGGGAGTTTCACCGAAGGTCCCATGGGTAGGGCCCATATGCGTCCCAAGGCTCAGTCTGGCACACATGGAGCTCCATTGAAAGCTTCAGTGGCAGGGGCCGCATGTGTTACCAGGCCCGTGTTACCACTCCGCCCGCGCCCGCACACCTTCCTGATTCATTCATTGGACGGCAGCGCCCGCCAGAACTCATCCGAACGAAGCCGATAAACAAGCAGCGACGCCAACGCGTTGCTAAGGACGTGAGGCCCCAGAGACCGCTAGGCGAGTGAACACCTCCACGCGCTGCAGCACAGCGTCGGACAACCTCTGAGCAGCCCGACTCCCCCATCGCCGTCCCCATCCCAGCCAAGTCCCACGAGCGTAAATCTGATCGACTGCGGCGACCCTGATGAGCGAAGTGAGCGAGGAATTCCTGTTTCGAGAGGTTCTGGGCGAAACCAAAACAAGATCAAACCGAGTCGAGGTATCTGTCCGACATCTGAAGCTTGTTTCCAAACTTGGAAAGCGAATCCCCAGGATCAGTAATCACAATCTTATTCACATTGCCAGCGTACTTCTGCAGCGACGCATCTATTTCCAGTCATACCTTTCCCCCACTAATGTGTACTAGTCTATTTCAGTCTATTCTAGCTCTGATACCCCATGTGTATATCTCCCTTCCCCACTCCAAGATAGGAAACTTGAAACCACCCAGGAAGGCGGCAACACTAAAGGGGTCGCCCATGCACCCCCCTTGCGAAAGACGAACGAGCAGAGGGTCGCCAGCAACATCACATAGCATCAGCGCCTCTTTGAAGCGTTGGCGACACAGTTCAACATCCTCGGCCGCGGCGCGTAGAGTCATTACCTCTAGTGTGCTATGTGACGTGCCTCCGAAAGCGTTACTGAAGTCCTTAAGGCAAATAGCGTGTGTAAGACCCCCTTTTCCCGCATACGTCGACTCACCAGCTGAGAGCAGAGCACTGCCTCCTCCCGTCTACGTCCGTTCGCAAACCCTTAGTCCATTACTGTCGGTGAAGTCCGAAGCTTCTTGAGGAAAAAACGATCCCCAGGACCGGCAGTACATGAACAACTCGGCGTCCCTTGGTCCCTGGGAGGGCCGACTTTCGTAACCCACATGCTTGACTGCAGTGCCATGCAATGACGTGTGTGCGTGCGTTCGGATGTTTGATCCACTTATCGATGTGTAGAAGAAGAAACGCAGCGTGCTGGGTGGGCTCGGATCGCTTCCCAGTCTTGCATGGGATACTGCGTTAGGCCCAAGGAATTAGGCGTGGAAAACCTGTGCCATAGCTCCAGCGGTGCTGTGTTCACGGGGACGGCCTTTCGCTTGTTGTTGTACACGAGGTTGCGGCGAATAAATAATTATCGTCAGACGTTGACAGGTCAGAAAGCTCCTCACTCGGTATCCACGGGAAGGGACCTTCACGCTCAGCACGAAGCGTGTCCCAGTCGCACTTCTGAACTACCATGCCTCCTTCGGGGGCCGATCACTGCCGCACCAACATCCATTGATCAGCTGAAAGTGGGACTGGGCGTACAAGGGCCACTCACGTGTCTTGGGTCCACCTGGCGAGCGTGAGGCGAGACGAGGCAGCCTCATTGCTTCTGCTGCGTTGCGCCGCCGCCACATCTCATTTGTTTCGGCCACGGGTCGGTCAAGTCGCTGTCGGTAGTAACGTTTGCGAGAATTCTTCAGCTTCTGTCTCAGCGCCTTCAGTTCTGAGTCGATATCGTCCACCTCCGATGGTGAAGCCTTCATTTTACCTGCACGTGCTTCGGTTCGGCGACGAAGTAGCCCTCGACGTTCGGCGCAGAACTCGCTGTAGTAGTGTTTACAGGGGGGAGCTCTGAGCTCTGGCCGTGATTGGAAGATCTGCTGAGCCCACCCCAATCAACGCGGCTTCCAACATCTCAAGAATCTCATCTGGCGAGGCCGATTCCTACACATGACGTGGACCCCCCGTAGAGAGTTTGGATGACACTTTCTCGATCAACCCCTTCCTGTTAGCATCCTTCATCAAATCCTGTTTCGGCAAATCACGATCTCATCGAAGGGCTGAGGTTGGGGGGTCCACTGGGCGATGTTTCTCATGCGCCCGGATACAAGCGATCGGGAGATGGTTCCGAGGTGCAGCACCCGGTTGAAGTTGTAGCTTCTCGCCCAGCCTGGGTACCACCGCACAATTGATCACGATCTCCTCGACGTCCCTCGGGTAGACGATGTGATCAATGCGGGGGCACTTGCCGTCACCACCGTGGAACATCAGGGAAGAGCGGCCTGGCAAGGTGTTAACTGTTGCCTGCCAGTAGCATATTATGTTCCATTACCTTGCGAAATAATGCACCAGCCCCACCCGCCGTGCGTTCTAGAGAGCCACATCCCACTGCTGCACAGTGAAAGTCGACGATACGATACTTGCGCCACTCGTTTGGAGGCCGAGCCCATCGTTGAGGTCACAGAACAGGAGCGGGATGTGTCGCGCGGGCAACTCTCGAAGGATTCCATGAAGCCAGTCCAGCAAAATGCGCACTGTGGCCAAATCGCTCCCCCGTTGCTGATACCCAGAATTAGCCGGTGGAAAGTGCAAAACTATGAGGCACAGGTCTTGTGGTCCACGTTCAGCTCTCGTCGCTACTGCGCGACCTCTCGCTTCCGATGGTGACGGCCAATACTGCATGATGCGGTCCTCTCGAAGCCCTCCCCCAGCACATTAGAGCATCCACAACTTGCATTTGCGTGGGGGGGGACGGGCCATGCGGTGCACTCAGGACGAGGCGCCCCGCCACTCCGGAGCGTGCGGTCGCACTGCCGCTGTAGTTCTGGCGGAAGTGGGAGCTCTGCGTGCCTGCCAACAAGACCGCGCCGAACTGGCCCAGCTCCATGATTTTTTTCTCCTGGCGGTTGTGTTTCAGCCCAGTGTCCTCGGTCTGGACATCTCCCGTTGGCCCTCCTCATGGCGCCATCTATCGGTGGCGCTCTGGCAGGAGGCGAGAATAGGTGCGCGGCTGGCCCACTCGTAGAAACATGCTTGAGACTTGTGGGATACCCTACGATGGCCCCAAGATGACCCGATGGCCCTCAAAAGAGCATACGTATGAACAGAGCACATGCCCCATGACCTTACGATTACTTCAATATTTCGCCCATGTGACCCATGCTCCCGATATCACCCCAGATGATCCCATATCCCAGCGCGACCGTAATCTAACCCCAAGATGGCCGCAAGCCTGTGAGGTGTCCCCACGAACCCAAGATGTCCGAATACGGCCCCATGACCTCAATGCGAACGCAGAGCTTTCAAAAGACGGCACCAGCACCCCATGCTTCATTTTCTCAAGTTTTGTTTTCTCGCGAGGGTGGTAGTTGGACCGATCCAGGGTCTGGGGGCTCGAGACGGGGCAAAACGCCCCCGTTCACGACACCCCGTCAGGTGGTCCTCCCAGCGAGAATCTGCGCCAAGTCCATCTGGCCCATCGTCCGCCGCTGCCATCTTTCTGAGCCGCGACCAGCCGTGGCGATCAGGGAGGCACCCAGAGGCCCAGAAGGGCAGGACGATGAGGAGCGTGGCCTGCCCGTGTTGCTCGCGCCTGCCCCGCCCCCTTCCTGGCAGCTCTCCTCTCCGCCCTGACGCCCTGTCCGCCTCGCATCCAGCTGCCCCCGTGGCGGCCGAGGCTGCGTGCACCCCGAGGCGGGGCCCCGCGGGGTGCGCGGGGCGATGGCCGAGCGCGGCCGCCCAAACGTGCTCGTGACCGGAACCCCGGGCGTCGGGAAGACCACCTTCTGCGACGGCCTTGCGCAGGCCACGGGGCTGACTCACCTCGAGGTCGGCAAGCTCATCAGGGAGAAGCAGCTGTACAGGGAGTGGGACGACGAGATGGACTGCAGCATCTTCGACGAGGAGCTGGTTCTGGACGCGCTGGAGCCCCTCCTGGAGGAGGGCGGGCAGATCGTCGACTTCCACTCCTCCGGCTTCCTTCAGGACGACTGGTTCGACCTGGTGGTGGTGCTCAGAGTGGAGACGGAGACCTTGTACGGCCGGCTCGAACGCAGGCATTACGGCGAGGCAAAGATACGCGAGAACGTGGAGGCGGAGATCTTCCAGACGTGCCTCGACGAGGCGAGGGAGGCGTTCGAGGACAGCGACGTGCGGATCATGGAGATCCACCACGACACCCAGGAGCAGCTCGAGGCGGGCATCTGCCAAGTCCAGGAGAGCAGGTCCTTCACACCCCCCCGCAGCCTCCTCCTCCTCCTCCTCCTCCTCCTCCTTCTCCTCCTCCTCCTCCATTCCTCATTACGCTCGTCTCCTCCTCCTCCATTCCTGCCACCCGCCTTTCCCCATTCGGCCGACAACGACGGCGCTCGGCGAGGCAACTGGGGCAGAATCGTTAGCGGGCATCGTTTGCACTGGTTCTACCGCGGCGGCGTCCGCCCAATCGGCCGATCGGCAACCTCGGCAAATCTTCTCTGCGATAATTGCCCACGGGGAACATGGGGGCAGGTTTGTGGGTGACTCTCATCCTCCTCACGTCACCCTCCTCCTTCTCCTGATGCTTACTTCATTTTGCTTTCTATTTCTCCTCCTCCTCCCTCGTCCTCCTCCTCCTCGTCGTCGTCGTCCTCCTCCTCCTCCAGGCCGCTAGAGGTCAAACGGATCCAGGACGCTGAAAGGAGCGGTCCACGAGAGTCTCAGCGGGCCCTGGAGCCCGCGGAGATAGATCTACGTAGTTACTTTCATTTGGCGCTCAGGCTCGCAGTCACGGCGACTTGTTGTTTCGCAATTCTTGACGCTTCCACGTAACAGACAACCCCCAGAGAACGCAGATTCCGCCATCCATCGTTGTCCGTTGGGGAAACAACAACGCCGATACCAGTGACGCACTGCACATACTCGCGCCAGAGCCCCGCAACGTCGCCATCGTGGCCCAGATAACTAGGTGGCAACGGGCCCTCGAGGGGGACGGGCACGCAGCAGTGGAGGTGGAATGGGCCACCACAAAAATACCCGTCCCAAGGGACGGGACCCTCCTCAAGGAGGGACTTGAGCCGCTCTTCCATCACGTCGTGCGATGCCGACCCGCCAGGCTCACATGCATGCAGGTCCCCGACGACCAGCCCCTAGAAGAGCTACAAGTCGCCGCGCAGACCGCCCTGGTTACAAACATCAACGGATGCACATGGAAAACCAAGGAAACATCGGACTCGGTGCACATCCCCATCCTGAGCACCGCCACATGCCTTGCCCACTCCGTCGCCTCGGACGCAGCAGCAGCATTTGGATACAGAGTCGGCTTGAACGGGGGAGGTTTGCTCCTCCTGAAGACCCCGGAAAGAATCGCAGCCCCTTCATTGAGGCACCTCAGGGAGGAGCTCCCCAGGATCTTCGGGAGCGGACGCAACTCCCCCGCCCTCAGTCCCCGAAGGATCCTCCTGAAAGGCAGCTGGGACGGCGGCCCATCGTTCGCCAGACTGGCCGACCCCGAAGACGGCTTCCATCTCCGGTGGAACCTAGCACACCTAGGGCAATCCAGACACCAAGACGTGATAGAGGCCATAGAAGCCACGGTGGGTACTGGGGCGGTTGAGCAAATAAATACTGTGTACGCCTGGTTTCCCGACACAGGTGACTACAGGCACTTGACGCAGGTGAGGATCAGGCTGAACACGGCCGTCACCATGGCAGCAGCCTTCTGCGGGACTAGCTGCATAACAGTCGGCCCGCAGGTCATCAGGATTTTCCCAGCTACCCCCTCGAGAGAGCAGACAAGAAGAGACGGAGGGACCCCAAACGAGCAGCGAGAGCACATTGAAGCCCTCGCCCAGGAGGACGTGCGACAAGCCCCCAGAAGAGCTGTCCAGCCGCATATACTCGAGGTCACAGCCTTCGACCGACGATGTACGCAAATCGGCCCCCCCCGAGCCAGGCAAATGCGACCAGACCCATGGATCCCCCAGCGCGCTACCCTGCGAATGTTCTCATCCACGATAGGCTCATCTGTGGCGAGGTTGCACGCAAGAGCCTGGCCGCTTCCCACGGGGTCGGAGGGTAGAGAGATACCAGCCAACACAAGGGCCCCCCCCCTCCCCCCACGATCCCCGAGGAATGGCTGCGAGACGTAGACACAGCCATAGACGGTCGGAGTGCGACCACGCGCCGCAGACCCACGGTGGGCAGTGAGGGCCTTCGGGACTACAGCACCATCTTCCACCCCAGGGAACACATCACGGCTGCGATAGCCGCAGGAGGGGCGGCATGCATCACCACCAGCGGAGAAAGCGGGCACCTATGCGCCTCGAACCCCATGTGGGTCACGATTGCGCTGCCCGCTGAAGCCGACCTGAGAGCTGCCAGTAGAGGGACGGACCGCCCGCAAGCCAGGGTAACTCTGCAGCTGACGCACGGCCCAGTGCACCTCGCCAAGCTCGACGCGACCCCCGCCCGCGCCCCCAGACCGGTGGATCTAGGGATCGACACCAGCCAATCAGCCAGCCCACCCCTGCCACCCAGGAGGCGGGCAGCAGTGGATTCCCTCCCAGGCCCAGCCCGCCCAAGAGCGTTCCCCCACCTCGCAGAGGTGCTCACACGCAGGAGCCGGGGAAGCTCTGGGCCCAGGGCTGCTCTCGTGAGGGCGGAAAGTGATGCGGTGCTGTGCGCGCAGGGCATGCTCGGGAGGTTCCTAGCCTGTGTAGGAGAGCAGTGCATCCACGACATGGCCAGGAGCATACAGACCAGGCTCGTGCTGGAGCAGCGAAGACAGGAGGAAGGCAGGCCTATCCTGAGATATAACTGGGACCTCTTTGCGGCCACATGGATCCTTCAGCTGGCTGACCCGAGCAATCTGGACAGAGACCACGTATTCCAGCTCATCGACAAGCTAGGGGTAAAGGACGAAGTCACACGGCAGCTTCCCTTCACGCAGTGGCTCTCCCCCGAGCCCGACCCCACCTAACGGCACGCCACCCGTGGTTGGAAGTCCCTGGAAGCAGGGGCACCGAGATTGGCGGCTCCACCGCGCACGTGCTCGCCCCAGGCACCGCCGAGAGGCTGGAGGCCTTAGACGGAAGGCTACGGAGCGCAGCGCAGGAGGACAGACGTCGCCACGGCCCGTGGAGAGTCACCAGACCTCGAAGGGCATCCAGGGGCCAGCAAGCCAACCCCCCTAGCAACAGTGGGACGAACCCGGCGCAAGGCGAGCAGGCGCAGGCCAGACGCAACCGGAATCCGAGAAGGCCACCAGCGGCGGAGCAGAGCGCCGCCACCTGCGCCCCGCAGACTCGGGACCTCCCTGTCCCACAGCCACCGACAATCCCCCCTCCCGTCGCCCAGCAGGCACCAACGCAAGTGCCTCCCCCGCCAGACCAGGCCACCAGTGGCGCGAGACAAGGACAGCGGCCCAACAATCTCGGACGGGACAGCGGCGACAACCAACCCGCCAGAGACCACCCGGAGGGCGCTACTGGACTCAACAACCTTCCGACGCGAGCAGATGTCGATGCCAACCAGGTCAGAGAAGCTGGACCGGAAGAAGGGGGCGGGAGCGCCCCGCAGCCCCCACCGCAGTCTCCGGCGGGCGCTCGAGCAGACGGCCGGCCCGGACGGCCCGCGCCGAGCGAACCACAAGCCGCCCCAACCCACGAGACTTCCCCCCCCCAGCCCGGAGTTCAAGGCACCGGGCCTGCCCGAACGCCGACGCCCCACACGGATTGCAACAGACAGGGGAGCGAAAGAGCCAGCCACGCGCAAACGCCGAACCTGGAGTCAGGGAACGCCCCGCAGGCAGTGCAGGCCCACCCCGGCGGTGAGCCCAGGAGAAGGCCTCCACCAGACAGTGCCCCACGAAACCCAGCCAGCGGTCCACTAGGAAGGGGGGGCGCCCCCAGAGCAGGACCACACCTCCCGCCCTGCATGGGGCTCAGGTGGAGCTCTCTCCTCAACCGCGCCGCAGAAATACTGGGCCCCCTTGGCCCGCCCGCGCAGTGGGAGGGACTAGGATGCCCTGACCGAGAGATGTGGAGAATTCAGTGTCATGGCCTGGAGCACCTCCATGCTCCAGCTCGAAAGACAGGTCCCCAGAGGTCTGGAAGGACTGTTTTTTTTTAGTCCGGTGATTATGTTATGTATGTTTGTCAGTATTTATAGTCCCCATACATATTCGTGTTACATGGCAGTTCGTTAGTTATATACAGTTATTGTTTTTTTGCTCTGCGCGCTAATGACTGACGGTTTGAGCCTAGATGGCCTGTGGATACGCGATCGCGCACGCACCTTCTTGAGCCATGACAGGAAAGCACGGCTCGAAGAGGACGGGCGAAGAGGTCGAGGAGGATGAGGACGAGGTCGAGGGGGCGAGAGAAGGGGGATATGGAACGAAGTAGTGGAAAAAAGGGGGCACGAGTGTGTGTGTGTGTGTGGACCGTGACATGCATGCAACGCTTGGCTTTCGAAAACCCTTCCAGGCCCCAGGGCTGTCCAGGAGCGAAAATATCTGCCCGCGGGAAGGGCGCGACGCACTGGTCATCAAAGACCAAGCGTTGTGCATTATGGGGGCAATTCCATGTGCGCAACTTGCACATGGTTGTAGAAGAGGATGATCGGGGAGGAAGGGGGGGGGGGGGGGGGGGCGAAGGGGGGGGAAGATGATGAGAACGAGAACGATATAAAGTAGGAGAGGGGGGAGGGGGGGGGACGACAAAGGAGAAAGAGGAAAGGGAGGAGGAGGAGGAACAAAAAGGGGGAGGGGGAGGACGAGTAGTCGTAGTAGCAGTAGTAGTAGTAGTAGTAGTAGTAGTAGTAGTAGTAGTAGTAGTAGTAGTAGTAGTAGCAGCAGCAGCAGCAGTAGTAGTAGTAGTAGTAGTAGTAGTAGTAGTAATAGTAGTAGTGGCAGTAGTAGCAGTAGGAGGAGGAGGAGGAGGAGGAGGAGGAGGAGAAAGAGGATGGGGGGAACATGAGGAGGGATATGACGAATACGAATAATAATAAGAAGAAGGAAAAGAACATTAATAACACGAATCATAAGAAGAATACTGGGACGAAGACGAGGAGAATGGGGAGGGGGAGTTGGATGGGGGAGGAGGAAGATGAGGAAAAGAAGGGGGGGGAGGAGACAGGAGGAGGATGAGGTGGAGTAGGAGAAGGAGCAGGAAACGCATGAACAGGAGGAGAAGGAGGAAGAAAAAGAAGACGACGCGCAGGAAAGGAGAGACATCACAATTT